CAGCGGCTCTACTCTGAGTCCCTCCGGGATGACTGAGCTTCTCACCTTCTAAGGGAGAGCCCAGCCACCCTGCGAAGGAAACTCCTTCTGCTGCTTGTCCAGGGTGTACCCGCCCCTCGCACTGTGACTGCTGGGCACCAGTGAACCCCGTGAAAGGAAGAAGCGGGTAAAGATAATGGATAATACGTGGATTTTTAAAAACAAAACATTTCTGAAATAATGCAAATGTTGATCCTAAACAGCATTTGTCTTTTTTTTTCTTGTAGTAGACTCAGTGGGTGGTTGGCAGTGTGACCCACTTAACTGAATTAAGTGAACCGGATCACTTCAGTGAGTGACTCAGATTAACTTGAGTCTGTGAACTAAGCAGCTTTATCACAAAATGATGATTTGTTTGGATGACAATGTTTCTCTATCACCAAATTTGTCATTTGTCTTTAAAGTAAATTTAATTCATAAGTCTGCGAATGATATGATGCAACATCATATCTATAACATCGATCCACGATCAGGTATTTGATGATTAGATAAGATATACTTTATTTTTCCCAAGGGACATTTGTTTCGTTTTGCCTTAATGTAAATTGAGTGAATTATTTAATCAATACATCAATATGTATCAATGTATTGTTACACCTCTAATATTTATCATAGTTTGCAATGAGTACATTTAAAAACATATTTTCTCTGAAGAATCAGTGTGAACCTTGGTTGCAAAATTAGTTCCAATGAAGATTTTTCAGTATTTTTTTTTTTATTATTTTAAAATTTTCCGGCTTAAAAGCTTTGAACATAAATTGGCGATTTATAACCTGACGATAAGTTAGTTTTGTTTAGAGTGCTGGATTGAAAACTCGATTTTGTCATTGTGAAGTCCAGCTGTATGTTCAAAAGTAAAATGCCCAACCTTCGCTTTGATGCCAGACATTATAGGAAGGGATTTTCCTTTGCTACAGGAGCCGACAGAAAGAAAACTGTTGTTTTCTAAGGAAATATAGCTTTTTTTTCTTCTTATATAACCATTAGAAAACTTTTTTGTAAAAGGTAAGTTATTGCTTTCTTAATTTATTTTCCTAAAAGTATATTTACCATACCCTGATTAACATTTTTTTTCATTAGACATCAACATTGACAGTTTATACAATCTTAAATGAAAATTATTTATACACTGTTCTATTTCTGAAAATGGCAGCATTAATAAAACCAACCAAACTGTCTTTACTCTATTTAAAACTGAAGTCTTCAGATTTCTGCTGTGTACTTTATAACCTATTTTTACAGCTGAATTATTTCAGCGGTGTAATGTGTATAAATTTACTGGTGGGTTAGATATGAGTTTGTGTACTTAATTTAATCATCTGTGYATCTATCCGTATAATATTCCCCACCTCTGCTGATAGATTGTTTAATAAAACAAATCACATTTACTGATGTAAGGTGCTTACAGCCAGCTGTGCTCCCCGTTTGACATACAGCGGGTAAAATAAGTATTGAACACGTCACCATTTTTCTCAGTAAATATATTACTAGAGGTGCTAATG